GCGTGGGTGCATGTGTGGGTGTGCTGATTCGACAGTGCAGACTTAGCTCCTGCTACATTCATTAGATAGTGGCCATTGTGGTGTCACTTCCATCGTGTGTGTGTGGAAGGGAAGGTGTGTGTGTGTGTGTGTGTGTGTGTGTGTGTGGTGGGGGCGGGGGAAAGGGGGGGAAGAGTGTGTGTGTGGGTGGCCTGGTGGGTGTGGATGTGCTGATTTCACAGGTCTGCCTGAGATCATACTATATTCATTAGCTATGTGGCAATGGTGAGGTACCTTCCACTGTTTGTTTGCGCGTGCGTGCGTGTGTGTGTGTGTGTGTGTGTGTGTGTGTGTGTGTGTGTGTGTGTGTGGGCATGTGCGTGTGTGTGGGGGAAGGGGGAGGTGTCAGTGGGTGTGCGGATCGATAGTGCAACCTGGACTCCTTCGTGTTAATGCACCCAGATAGGGCCTAAAGGTAAGTGTCCATCTCCCTTTGAAACACATGGTGATGGATAGCAGTTCATGGGTGATCTGCAGCAGGATGTGAGGAGGCAGCAGAGGCAGGAAATGAAGAGGTGTAGAGAGAGGAAGGAGTCGTATAGCATGCCCCCTTTCTCCCTGCTGTCTTTGCTTCCTTTTCTCGGTTCTTCTTTTGCCCTGTGCGCACTTCTGGGATCCTCTTTTCTTTGTCCATTTCTTATCGAAGTAGTCGACGGTACTTCCCTGAACATATCTCCCTACCACGATCTGCATCCTGGCAAAATGCAGACTTGATAATAGGGGAGTATGTTCAGTGGAATAAGAGAGAGTCCTGCTGGTCATGCTTGTGTTTTACTGTGGCTGCATTTGGCTTGGATGTCTGGTCCCTCCAGCTGGTAGGATGTTGGGCTGCTTTAAGTGGCGTAGGATGGGGTGGTGTGGATGATCTCTCTCTCTCTCTCTCTCTCTCTCTCTCTCTCTCTCTCTCTCTCTCTCTCTCTGTGTGTGTGTGTGTGTGTGTGTGTGTGTGTGTGTGTGTGTGTTTGTTAGTGGCGGGGATCAGCACTTGCCGTAAACCGGGTCCAGCATCCCAGATATGAAAGGTTTAGTAAAGCTCAGATGGGGTGACTGCTTCAGCCCAAAACGAGGCCGTCAGATGCTTGTCCATCCACTCTACCTTCTTCCCCGTTCTTCCCCCGAATACAACGTACGGTCATTATAGCTGTATTTGAGGCATCTTTCTGTCTTGATACAGCCATAATCACCGTACGTTGTATTCGGGGGAAGACGGTAGTCATCCTAGTCATCTAACTTTCTGCAAGGGGGCGTACACTGAGACTGTCCGCTGCCTCACTGCCCGTACCGTTCGAGGGAAACGTTTGTCAGGGGGAAAGGGGTCGGTGAAATCAGCAGGGCGAGCATGGGAATCGACTCGTTAATCACTGTCCAATCGTTGAAGCAAGACTATAATCTTGTTGACGGAGCTCCCACCCTCTCACTGCTCTCCCATCCGCACCACCTCTGCAACCCATCCCTCCTGTTCCCCCCCAAGCCAGTCTGTTAACAAATTTTGAATTTTCTTTTGGATGTCCCATACTGACTGCATGGTTTCTGGTGATTCTTTGACGGTGACCCATTTCCACAGCAGATCTGTCTATATTTGTCGCTTGCTGGTCTCTGCAAATTCTGTCCCCTCCAGTCTGTGGCAGCTTCTGTTTGAAATTTGCAGCCTTTCTACCGGAATGTCCGGAGAAAGCTCTGCGCATGGATGGATGAGAGATCTCAACTGCTAGGAACTGTGCACAGGGAAATAACCGTCGCTAACTCTGAAAGCTAATTCAGGGTTGTTACATGAGGCAGTGCTTGTGGACAGGTGCCCGCCAGGTTAGCTCACTATCTATGGAAAGGAGAAAGGAGTAGTCGTCATCTCTTGCTCAAGGGCGGAATAAGAGAAGCAGGATCTGTGCTCAGGACCACCACAACTGACCATACCGCTGAAGCTGCTCTGTACCGGATGTGGGAGGGGTGGGTGGGGTGGGTGGGTCAGGGTTGCTGAAGGTAAACTGCCTGGCTGTGAGAGCAGGAAGGTGCTGACAGTTAACAAACATGGCCTCTCCCACAATTTTGCCGGCAGGTTTTTGTGGTTCAAACAAGCCTGCTAGAAGTAGTTGCCTCTACCTTTTGTAGAGGTATTTGGGGCAACTGGTTTCCTTCACCGGTACCTTTCAACAGCGATACATTGCTGTGACAAATGAATTTAACTTGGCACAGGCAAACCCGCGCAGGATGAGTAGTACAGCACCAGAACTTTTGCGTGTACTGGCGGTTTGAACTACCAGTACACCCTGGCCTCTTTTTCCGAATCAACATGGCCCCTGCACGCGGAGTGTAACCGAGCCTGAAAGGCGACGAGTACCACCACATGGGAAATTCAGGGTGGTACTGGGACTGGCCTCTCTGCTGGACCTGCTGCTAGCAGATGGAACGAAAAGGAGGCCGTTGTTTTCACTCATGTGCCACCTCAGCCAAACTCTCTAAAGTCTCTCTGTGCTGCTTGAAAAGAAACGACAAAACGAAGAAGGAAAAAGGTAGAACGGAACTCACACTGGTTGGACGTGATTGCAGGTGGATATATTTAGGTAAGTGTCAGTGTGAGCATACCCTTAGAGGTAGATGGTCGTAGTTTTTTTTTTCCTGTATTATATTGGAAAATTGTTGAGATGCCCCTGAAAGTTGGGTTATGTGGTTAGATATCCCTAAAAGTCATGAGTACGGTGAAATGCTAGACAGAAATGAAACTCTGTGAAATACCCCCTCGCCAATTGGAACCACCTTTCGCATATACTCTATCGGGCGCTGTGCAACTTGTCCATATGCCCCTGCATTTCTGGGTGTTGGACCTTTGACTAAAACTTTTGCAAGTGCCCCTACTGGTGCCTGGCGATTATTCACAGCCCACTGAGTGCATTCTCTAAGCTGGGGCAGCCTATGGTGAGCCGTTCTTGCCTGCTGCCCTGCACCCAGATGCAGTTCTCCAGGAGGAAGCAGCGCAATCTTTCTCTCTCCCTCTCTCTCTACCCCCTGCCGCCCCCCCTTCCC